AAAAACTTTATTAACCGGCGCGTCCTCATTCACGAAGCCTGGACGCAACCCTATGATGCTAGTCCCATAAAGCCCTTCTTGACAGAAGCTGTCCCCATACTTCAAAATGTCTATCTTGATGCTATCCTCCCTATTTGTGAGGTTAAAGTGCATGAGACGAGGCACGGCGAGACGCTGCACGAACAAGAAGGAGACTTGACGCTCTATCGACAGCAAAGCAAATTGACAATCCCCTGAGCGTAATACCAATATTTCTCCCCGCAGTGGAAGAAAGAGTTGCCGCCAGGGACACTATCTCCGAAGAGAAAATGCGGTTTCACTAACACATCTTCATGAGGGACAGAGAACTTTGTGTCAGTAATTATTTTTCGCAAAGACTAATAACTCCCCTTGCGAATGACCTCAATCCTTTCGTGACTTTTACCATCGAGAAACAACAGGACGCTCCCGTTAAAAACATGTGTCACCTCATGATCATGAGTCCTATCATGACCAAAATAATTACAACGGTTCACAGGAGCTCTTGAATACGCAACTGCAAGATGACAGAATGAGTTAACAGACAAAGACCAAGTTTAGCCATCATACTCAAGAGTAGAGGCGAACCTCGCTCACAAACGAAAGTCATCTATATTGACTAAATGCCTACAAGACAAAGCGAATCTCAACCAAAGGAAACGAACTTCACATCCAAATTGGCGAAATTCATCCAACTTAAATAGGTGAATATCGCTCAAGCAAAGATCGCTCAAGCGAAGATCGCTCCAAATTGGCGAATATCACTTTAGCAAAGATCGCTCATAACAGAAGCAGCCAACTCCACCTAGACGAAGTCCACTGCGAAAACCCAAAGGGCTGAGCGAGCCCTGCCCGAAGCACTAAACTCATCACGATAAGCGCCATTAATGGCCACTGACGAAACTTCGCCACCAACAACGAAAGCTCGTCGGGAAGACCATCAATGGTCATAAAGATCTCGCCTTTAACAGTGGATCAAATTTTTAGATGCCCTACGGTCTTGCTTAAAGCCCAATGGGTTGAGACTGTGGCTGATCTGAAGATTGCCGATGATAGGGTCAGCACTTACCCATCGCCATCTCTAGCTGTGCTGGCACCTCATCGGTTCTCGACCGACGAGCCCCTCTAGCTGATCCTTTTCCCTTGGAAATAGCACGATGAGGAGCCATTGATGATGAACTTTAGGAAATCTAGGGTTCGAAGGAGAGTAAGAGAATTTTAAAAAATCAAAAGTGAAGAAGAGGGGGGCAAATAGTCGTATTTATAGGCTAAAACCCCAGAACTTCGCCCAAGATTTCTCGCCCTAAACTTTGCCAAATATTTCACAACCAAGCTTCACCGAAGATGTCGCCAACGAACTCCGCCAAAGATTTCGTTTTGAACTTTACAAGAGACTTAAGCCTCGAACTTCACCTGGAATTTCTTCTCGAATGAACTTCGTCTTAATTCCAGGCACGTAGATCAAAGACCTGAAGTTTATAGCCTTAGGTTGAGCCTCGCCTAACCGACTTACTGAGCCTCGTCAAGATGATTGTCTCTTCAGTAGGTGAACCTCACCCAATTCAATAGGGTACTAAAGGCGAACCTCACATGAACATTATAGTGAATTTCACTAAGTCTCCAAATTGAGAAAATCACAACTTAATTTGTTCGGGGCTTTGTATAGTGAACCTCACCAAAATGACTTGGCAAAATTCACTAAGTCTCCAAGTTGAGTAATGCTTTAACTAAATTTGATCGAGGCGTCATCTGGCAAACTTCAAACCGACTCTCGCCAACACAGTTCAGAATAACTTGAGCCCAGTCAGCTAGTGAATGTCGCTAATCGATGAACTTCTCCTAGCAACCCAAAATTGAGCAACCTTCGTTCACACCCAAAATCAGTCAAACTTCGCTGATTTCCTCAACATCGCCTCAACAACAGAAAAGGTGAATTTCGTTCCAAGTTTGAATTTGGATGAATGCAAGCATCATTGATCCTTCGACACAAGACTACAATAAGGAAGCTACGTTCAAAACTACTTCTCTCGCAACCAAGTAGGTAGATGAAGGCAAGTTTTCACCAAATCAAGACAACTCAAGCCACGTTCAACACTACACATCTAGCTATCTACCCAAAGCATTTCAAATCCTAGCTACAAATTGAAACGTAAGATTTTGAAAACTTTGGGGGGAGGGGTTTGCAGACGGTCAAAACATATTTTCACTGAAGATCCAAGAAGTGAACGCCCATGGGCTAAATATTTCAAATGGGGCCAAAATCAAGCCCACAACAAGCTGCAACGAAGGCCACCTGATGATTGAAGCGAACCTCACCGAGCAACTCATATCGATTCGACCAGGTCAAACACGAGTCGACGTGTCCCAGACAGAGTCGAAAGGGGTTATTAGTCAGTCACGCCTAGAGTCGAATTTTGTGTTAAATTCAAACTCACGAAGTGAAGCTCGCCTGACAGCCCATGTCGACTCGACTCAACCAAATCAAACATGAGTCGACTCTCGTGCCAAGTCGAAAGGCGTCATCAGGCGACCAAGACTAAAGTTAAATTCTGAGCTAAATTCAAACTCGTAGGTGAAGTTCGCCAACATGGACAAAGTCACCCACGTCTAAAGCGACCTTCACCCACGACTAAAGTGACCTTCGCCCACGTCTTCAACAAACTTCTCGCAGCCCGCGAAATTCGCCCAAATAGCCATTTCAGGGCTATTTTCGGGGGATAACCGCTCCCCACTAACTCCGCCTATAAAAGGAGAGATATCTCTCTGCTCGTCTCTGTCTCTCTCTCTCTCTCTCTCTCTCTCTCTCTCTCTCTCTCTCTCCCCCCTATAAAAGGAGAGGATATCTCTCTCTCTCTCTCTCTTAGCCTATAAAAGGAGAGGATATCATTTACAATAGAGACACACACGAGACATGGATAGATAGAGACACCTAAACACACATATACACATGCACACGCGTAGAGACATACTGGAGGTATTGCTAAGAGAAGATTGAGCTAGCTTCCAAGCGATCTGATCCTCATTAATAGCAAAAAGACTCATCGTCTTAATCGGCGAGTCAACAGAGTACAAGAACCTAGGAAAAAATAAATTTTTCTTTGTTTCACTATATTTTCTTTTGTTGTAATCTGAGTCAATTACAATTCAAAAGAACCCGAAACACATATTAGTGATTACATTCATGAGGAGAATACAAGTAAGACATATATCAATATTGTTGATGATGTTAGAGTTCAAACAGCCAAATAGCATCCGCGGTGGAACGAGATGATGATGATGGATGAGGTCGTTTCCTTCTCTGACTTAATGTCTGGTTCTTGAATTTGGGTATCTGAAGGCTCTGAGTTGGGGGAGTTGCTCAGCCTGCATAATGAAAGACTCGTGAGAGGAAGGGGCATAGATCCCCCATGGTATCTCCGATGATCAAGTCAGCTAGTGAACTTGAGTGGGGTAAATAAGAACTACGAGTTCTTGTGTGAAGTAAGATGCAAAGGAATTCGTGGAGAATCCCCAGAATCCGATGTTGGGCTAAAATCATATCTGAGTTAAGGGTTTGGATACAGAGATACGATCCCCCTCTAAGTTAGAATAGTATCTCTATTTATACATGTGGTATGACGGGTAGAACTATCATTATGGCTGAACAGATAATGACGGTGAAGAAACGTGTGCTAACGGTTGCGTGATCGACTTGCTATACATGTGTTGACTAACGACTAGTTGCGTGATCGACTTGCTTTACATGTGGGTATGAGGGGTAGTAATACACATTTTAAAATTACAAAAAACTACGGGTATCACGCGCCACTTATATGTTTTAATATTGTCAAAGTACAAATTATATGTTTTGATATTGCCGAATGCACATGTTAGATCATGTGCTAAAAACTAGACACAAACAATGAATAAAGCAAAAGAGAAAAACCTAGATACATACAATAACTTTATTTTCAATATTTCAAATCCTATGGAAAGAATAAAGCGAAACCTCCAAATATGAACACATCATTAAAAATGATAAATGATTCATCAAGCTTACGACTGAAATGATAGATCATTTCCAAACCCTTTTGTGTGCAGGATGGTCGATGCAAAATGGTCGGAGTTGAAAACCTCGACCATTTCTATCTCTAAGGTGCACTGTAGATGGTGCACCATAAGTGGAAGGGTTTGCCAAATGAACAAAGTTCCACCCGACCAAAATGGTCGGGGTTCACAACACTGACCTTTTTTGCTCTACTAAAAGATGCTCCAATTTCTAAAGTGGTCAAAAACTGAATCCATTTCTTTAATAAAAATTTGAAATGAATTGATTTTTGGGATAAAAATTTGGATTGGATCTGTTTTTTTTTAAAAATCTAACAAATAATCAAAACTATACATCTATATCTATCTATTACTAAAAACTCTTACCCTTGAAAATACCACTTGGCAATTTCTTCTTTTTTAAATCAAATTATTAAATTATTAAATCAAATTATAAGTATAGAGGTTTGCGCAATTCAATTCATTTTCCACAATCTATGTACTACTATTAAAACGCCATTCTACATGTGGCAAAATTTCCCTAAAAATCCTAAATGTAGATATTAAGGGCCCGTTTGTTTCATTTTTTTTGAAGGAGAAAGTTAGAGGAAAGCTGCCAAATCTGACAAAAACTGTCAGTTTTGACAGGCTTTCTTGCAAAAACGCCTCTAAAAGAGGCGTTTTTGCAAGAAAGCCTGTCAAAACTGACAGTTTTTGTCAGATTTGGCAGGCTTTCCCCTTCCCATTTTTGCAAACAAACCGCCCCTAAATGTTTTTGTTCCTCTCCCAAGAAACCCTTCGTTTTCCGTGCTATAGGCTGGCATCTCTACGAAACTTTGATCTACAGAAACATATTTTCATCTTCTCTTATTTCTCTCTCACTCCTTTCAAACGTATTCATTTTTTTTCTCAGTCCTCAACCTTTCTCCTTCCTCCTCAAAACTAACCTCCTCTCCCTCTACCCCCTCCTCTACTGCCCTCCACCACTTCACCTCCCTTATATCCTCCGACCCAGCTCCCAACCCGGAATATCGGCCTCGGACCCCGCTCCCAACCCGAAATACCGGCCGAATAGTTTTTGTTTACGCTAGAGCAGCACGGATTCGCCAGCGACGCTCCCAAAACGTTGAAGGATAGTGATTTGTTGGTGAGTTAATTGACTAATTAAAAAAAAAGTAAAAAAGAGCATCACTTGAATAAATTATTGAATTGTGAGATCTTTTTTTGTTTGTTCTCACTTCTCAGATCATCGATGCATCGACTGCGACACGTGTCGGTGGATAGCTCCGGTAATTCATTGAATTTTTTTATGGGGGATAATATTTGATACAGTTTGGAATTTTGATACTGAAATTTGTTGCAAATTTGTGGTTTTTTTCGTTACTTTTTTAGGAGCACTTCAAGCGGGTTGATGAGAAAGCTGCGGTCACAAAGCAACCAATCTCCAGGGAGGAAAGAATTAGAGCTCTTCAGGTGATCATACATGTAATAATTAAGCTTAGCGTTATTGAGCAGCTCTCTGTACTCTGCAAGTTTTTGACATTAACTATCTAAACTCTAGCTAGTCAAGCAAATACAGTAAACTTTTGTAAGTATTTAATTGCTTGATTATTAGATAATATGAATTTTGTGGGCCTTTGTTTCTTTGAATATGTTTATAAGAAGATGGGTATAAAGGATTGTTCTGGCTACACGACTGCACAATCTCTGTAGTTGCTGGAGCAAAATGGTAGCAAGGTAATATCCCAATGACAGATGAAATCTTAACATTCCCTATCACTAATTTTAGTATTATGCTGTTTTAATTTATTAACATCCCGCACTCATAAAATTATTCAGTCTGACTCTAAAGGTGAACTTCACTAAATTATCATTTGTAACTTTAATTGTAGACATAATCTAACTCATGCTACGTTCTCAACAAACTGGTTCAAACTTCAGAAACTAGCCTTCTACATCATCATGTTATCTTCCAAATTTACTGCAAATATGATAATGTGAAACTACACCAAAATTTCTCGGGTTAGAAGTTGTTACAAATATATAATCCCGTGGTGAGAGTGCATCAGTTTCTATGTCTAAATCCTAACTCGTGTTTCTTTGACTTTCTCCAGAGATAAATATCACTATCTTAGAGAATTAATTAGGGGTTGTTTGGTTCCTGTTTTTTGCGTGGTAAAAGTGGGGAAAGCTGTCAAAAATATCAGCTTTTTGGCAGTTTTCCCCCAAAATCACCTCTTAAAAAGGTGATTTTGGGTGAAAGCTGCCAAAAAGCTGACATTTTTGGCAGCTTTCTCCTTTTTTACCATAAAAAAAAACCTATCCAAACAGCCCCTTAGCAGCCTTTTCGACAGGCTAAGAATGACAATAGTTTTTCATTGATGTCAACAGTAGTTAGCTTCACTAATACACATTAAGTCCAAAGTGATTATTAAGTATTGGTTTATAGTACTTTTATAAGTTGCTTCTTTTTTATGCGGACTTCTCCCAATATTTTATTCGTATGGTACAAATTCAAATTTTCTCAAATAACGTGAATAGGAAGAACATTCTTAGAGCATCCTTTTGGACTAGATCCCTCTCATCCTCAACCTCTCTCAACTTAAATGACAAATTGAATATGGCACAAAAACTGGATTTTATTTCTGAAATTAACCCAGAAAAAGAAACTTGGAAAAGTGATGGTAAGAGTCATAAGGTTATGAAATGCGATGAAATTCAATATTCCGAATGCAATCAACACTATTGAGCTGCTTTTACTGGATGAAAAGGTAATTTTTTCACTCTTTCATAATCTGTTCATGAGTTCAGTTATTATTTTCCTTTAATGTGAATAATTCAAGATTATACATTCATGAAATTCTCTTTTTTTATGAAACGGAGCCAAAATTCAAGCAACGATCAAGAACAAAGTGATAGATAAATTCAAATCACAATTGAATGAAAGCAACTGCTATCTGATTACGAATTTTGGTGTTAGAGAAAATATTGGAAATTATAGAGCTATTGATCACGCATATAGAATTAACTTCATCTACTCTACATTTGTTAGAGAATGCGAGAGTTCTACAATACCTTCCTATTCATTTGGATTAGTTGATTTTGGGGATATAATTGTTAATCGTATCACCTCAACTAACTTAATAGGTAAGATAAAAAGTCAAAAAAATTAAAATAAATTTACATTTTTTCTTATTGTGTTTTTTCAGTTCAATACTATTTTTTAATATATTTGACACTTTAGGGCTTTTTATTCAAATTTTTATGTTATATGACATTTTTCAGATATCATTGGGGAGCTGATTACTATTGAAAATGTAAAAGAAGTTGAGAGCAATGGAAGTAAAAGAAAAGTACTAGAGCTTGAACTCCAAGATAGCAAGTGAGTTCAAATATGTACAATATAGTTACATATTTTTTAATGTACTAGAGCTTGAACTCCAAGATAGCAAGTGAGTTCAAATATGTACAATATAGTTACATATTTTTTAATAGTAAAAGTATGTGTGTGAAGATAGCAAGTGAGTTCAAATATGTACAATATAGTTACATATTTTTTAATAGTAAAAGTATGTGTGTGCCTGTGAGTGTGTGTATATGCATTTCGTACTAATTTTTTTCTTCATGCAACAACATTAAATTGCCATACAGTTTGTGGGGTGATTATGCTGTTCAAGTTTCGCAATATGTACAGAAAGCTAATTCAGGAATTTTTATAATAGTGATTCAGCTTGTGAAGACAAAACCATACGGAGGTAAATCAAATTAGATGTATACTAATTTATCAAAAAAGATATATTTTTATTTCATAGATTATGTTTATATATTGCCAGTATCATGAATTTAAAAACTTTATTTCTTAGGTAAAATTACTATTACAAATGCCTTATATGCGTCCAAGATATTAATCAATCCCGACATACCTAAAGTTGCTGATCTAAAAAAAAGGTACATGATGAATTATCTCATTCGTTAGTTATTTACAAGTAAGTTGATATTATTTCTAATTAATTTAATTTTACTATCATAAGTCTGAAACTTGTGGAAGATTCTTAGTCTCAACGATTTAGTCAGATTCCAACTGAAAAAGCTTATTCCATCAAGGATGATTTTTTGTTATTAACTGAACGGAAGACACTTGATGAAATTCGAGATACGAGAGGTAATTATTTTTAAGAAGTGACTTTAATGTTATTGCACTGCTTATTTAAAATGTAGGATTAGTGGTAAACTAGATAACTAATCTGAAGACAATTGATAATTTTCTACCAAATTATTCATAACTTTATTTTCTTATTATTTAATAATACTCAGGTTTGCACATGTGTGACATTAGCAACTATATAGAAAATTCAAACAGATTATAATTGGTTTTACAATGCCTGCAAAAAATGTCAAAGGAAGGTAAATGTTGAAAATGCTAAATTTTGGTGTGAGAAATGTAATAAAAATGCAAGATTTGTTATCCCAAGGTACGTCAGGAAGTATGTATGTCAGTTTCTTCACTAGTTATATTTCATCATATGCTTCATGAATGGATGTCTGGATCTTCAACGTATAATTTAGATCACAGTTCTTATTGGTTTATTTTAATTTTTGAGTTTCATCAGTTACAAGGTTCAGGTTTTAGTCATTGACCATACATGTACTACATCATTTGTTCTGTTTGATCGTGAAGCTTTACAAGGTTCAGGTTTTAGTCATTGACCATACATGTACTACATCATTTGTTCTGTTTGATCGTGAAGCTAAACAATTTATTCACAAAAGTCATTGACCATACATGTACTACATCATTTGTTCTGTTTGATCGTGAAGCTAAACAATTTATTCACAAATTTGCACTACTCGAATTGAGGGAACGACTAATAAAAGTAATCACTCTGATTACTTTCTGTAAAAATTAAAAGTTTTAATTCAGTAGCTTTACTTTGCTTTTTTATATTGTTCACAAGAAGGTGATGATGATTCATTTATAGTTAGATGTGTTGGTGAAAAAGAAACTTTTGTTCAAGATTCAAGTTTTGGAATTCAATCTCAATCAAAATTGTCATGTATTTTCTGTCTCTAAAATTCAAGCTAGCTTAGATTTGAACCAGGTATATTACATTACATATTTCTTTCTTTTATAGAGCTACTTATTTATTCATTTCATATATCAATCTGCATATATAGATGAGGTTGAACAATATATATGTAATATTTTTTCCTTCTAAATCATTAGGAGTCGACAGGTCAAGAATATTTCACTAATGTAGATGAATCTTCCAAAAGGAAAGATGATCTTGATAAATGTAAGTCAATACACTTGGTATTATTTTTCTTTTTCATTTCTCATGTTTGTATTTATTTTTTATTTTATTTTTTGTGAAATGAAAGGAAATTATAGATGTCATACCATTTCTCATGTTTGTATTTATTTTTTATTTTATTTTATTGTAAAATGAAAGGAAATTATAGATGTCATACCAAAAGCATTATATGTACAACCTCCATCCAATTATAACTATTGAAAGGAAATTATAGATGTCATACCAAAAGCATTATATGTACAACCTCCATCCAATTATAACTATGATCAAAACTAATACTTATAGTAAACCAAAAGCATTATATGTACAACCTCCATCCAATTATAACTATGATCAAAACTAATACTTATAGTAACACTTCAACACCTCTCTCCATAATCAAGGGGACAACCTGACAAGGCAAAACTCTCAAATTCTTTTTTGTTGTATATTTCACAATACTTATTTTTCAAATTCTCTTTTGATATTGTTGCTTCTTTCACCTTTATCAACTTTGTATTTTTATTATTGTTCTCTTGATTCTTCACATTAACAGTGCAAAAATCTTTTGTTTATATCTTATTAGTATTCTAACTAAATAGATAAATAAACATGCCTTTAATTTCCCAAAATGTGTTGAATATATTTTTAATGTTTTATTTCTGGCTTGTATTCTATCTGTCAATGACTCATTATCAATCCCGTGAAGCTTCTAATTAACTTTTGACACTTTGCATAAAAAACTTCCACCACATTCTCCTTGATGTACACATTAAAAAAATTAAATACTTAATTGAACCATGCATTCACTTGATCATGAAAAATTTAACCATAGATTAATTGAAAGAAGTAACTAGCTTAATTACTAAAATTCACCGCGAAGATTTCTGATTATAGGTTGTCATAGTAATCCTTCTTAATGTAATACCAAATCCTTTAATATCTTTTTGAGTAATATCTTTTGTCGTTACAACTTTCATCATTATCACTTTGGATTGCCTATTTCTTTTCCTTTTGATATTGATTTCTTTATTCTTCACATTAATTATACACCAATGTTTTCCTGCTAACTCATTAACATGCTAACTATTATGTTATACTTAAACACAAGGCTCCCTATCAATCATTGGTGCTAATGAATTTGAAATTTGTTCCTCGGATAATATTACTCATTGCAAGAGAAATTTGTTGAAATATGATATCGAGCACAAATTTGTTGAAATTATGATATGGAGCACTTTTGGATTCATGATTGAAAAAGAAAATTAAAGATTCTACAGAGAGTTCAGACTCCTTTTTGATAAATCTATATCTGATTCATGATGTCTGAAACTTATATTTAATATTCTGGTCTAAAACCTTATTTAATAAATTTTGGATGCACTACATATTTTTTTGATGATTTTGCGTTGAGAAACCTAACTACTTGATATTTTTATAATAGATATTTTGTTTATCAATAGATTGATAATTATTATCTTGATTCATAGATATATACACTTGATTCATAGATATATACACTTGACATGTATCTCTAGATGCTTTAAATATTTCGTTTGGAACTAGACTTTATGTTACATACTAATTACTTGGTATAACAAAATATTATAACATTAATCATAACATGAAACATTTTACCTATTTTGTTATGATAATAGAAAAATTATATTTTAATTCTTTTTTACAGTTTAATAATAAATCAAACATATATAGCTTAAGTTGTATCATTTCTGACTACTTGTATATTATTACTGTTTTATTTTATATTATTTTGCTATATCAATTTTTGTATATTAAATAAATCCATACATCGTACGGACCTGAAACTAGTATACATAATCTGTTTTTCCTCATTATTAAATATTAATAATTTGTTTTTCCTCATATTATTAAATATTAATAATTAATGTGTCTAGTAATCTGAAATGATTTGAGACGAGTACATATCGTAGTCTGAAAAATCAAATGTAGAAATAGCACGTTAGTCAAAAAAATTACAGTTTTACCAGCAAAGGACATACCTTAAGGACATCATGGGAATCAAAAAGTAAATAAAAAAAAAGTAAACAGCGACCTACGCAACATGAGCGAATCCCTTGCAATATCACTTTAATAATCATGAAGAAACACAAATAATTCATTTAGGGAGAAATTTTTAAAACAGCCCTTTTTTCAATTTTATTGGGCAAAATCGACCGTCTCACAAATTAATTAGCAAAACCGACCGCAAAGGGTCGTTTTTGCAATTACGGAACTGCACGGGACTAGCAGTCCCGTGCAGTCCGCCTAACCCACCGGCTCCCTTTCTTTTCGTCATTCTTTCGTTCTGTCTTTCGTTCATTCCTCTCGTGACCACTCTCCCCCGAAGAAAAAAAAACCCTCGACTCGTCGACCCCCGCCGCCGACCACCGCCGCCGACCACCGCCATTTGCACGTGACCATCCGTCGCTCTCGTGACCGATCACCGCCGCCGACCACCGCCATTTGCACGGGCTAGGGTTTTTTTCGTTCATTCCTCTCGTGACCAGTCCACCGCTCTCGTGACAGCCCTCCGACCTCGTCGCGCCGCCGACACCATCGACCCCCACCAAACCCCCATCCTCGGGTGTGTTTTTCTTTTTAATTTTGCTGTTAATTTTTGAGAGGGATATTCATCAAATTTTGCTAGAATTGAGTGAATAGTGTGATTTGGGAGTTAGGGTTTAGTTTAGTAATTATTTACATATGAGAGGGTTTAGCAATTATTTTTAAGAGGGATATTCATCAAATTTTGCTAGAATTGGGGGAATAATGTTTTGGCTGTTAATTTTGCTAGAATTGGGTAGGATTAGTTTTTATTTTGTGCAATAGGATGAATAATGTGATTTGGGAGTTAGGGTTTAGTAATTATTTACATATGATGAATAATAATTAGGGGTTTAGCCATTATTTGGGATTTATTCAGATACTAATAGATTATTTGCATATGATGGACTGTGTATTTTCAGTTTCGATGACGAACTTCATATCCATTATTTGTTTCTTTAATGGGAGCCTCGGTGTCGGAGTGAATAATTTGCCGGTGTATGATGGAGGTTCTCGAAAAATGTTCATGCTATCTAAGTCGTGTAATTTTGATGGAATGACTAGGGAAATACACAGAGTTACTAAAATTAAGAAAGAAGAATATACAATTAGGGTGTTCTTCAACTGTCCGATAAATGAGAGTAGAACTATTGCCGTGGAGATTACCGAAGATGAGGAATTGAATGACATGAAACAATTAGTCGAGAAGCAAGCGTCAATTGAGTTGTTTATTGAGAAGTATCCGATTCAGGAATTTGCCCAAGTTTCACGACCTCAAGGAGAGTTTTCTCGGATGCTTGACTTAGACAACGAGTCGATTGGTTTTATGACATCTCCAAGTCAAGAGCCATGGTCTCAACCATAACATTTAAGTGAGTATTCTATCGGTGGGACGTCAACTAATATATTTAACGACGCTTCAGGTCATGTTACGGGTTACCCACCAGTCGGAGCAATTATAGAAGATGAAGCAGATGATGATTCAGATCATATTGAAGAAGATGAAGTGCAAATTGATAGCATGCATGTGGCAGCTGGAATCGATGATGACACCCGTTGGATGGAGCAATTTAACGTTAACAATGATTATGTGGAAGCTGAAGATCCGTTGCCCGACGAGTTTCATAATGAGGATTGGATAAATACTTCTCAAGCTGGATTTGTTGATGTTGGGCCAAGCTGGATAAATACTTCACTTTTAAAAAAGGGGATCTATTCGAGAGCAAGGAGGCACTGATCTTTGCAATCCGAGAATGGTCCATCAAGAATCGGGTCAAATTCAAGCCGGTAAAAACTAATGCAACAAACTACAATGTGAAATGCTTCTTTAACGATAAGAATGAAGTAGAGAACGCAAATGAGCAAGATGAGAGAAATAAAAAATGTCCTTGGTTGCTAAATGCCGCTGTGAGAAAATCATCAAATGGGCAATTTGTAATATTTAGATATTGCGGACTTCACACATGTTGCAACCCGTCGGTGGATGTCGATGATTATTCTGCATCTTCTTCTTATATATGTAAGCTAATTATGCTTGAAGTTAGAGCTGAACTTGATCTGAATGCAGGTCAGATATTTCAGAGGGTATATGACATGCGGGGGATTAAGATATCTAAATATAAGGCATATGATACAAGGAGGAAAGCGTTGTCTAAAATTTTTGAAGATTGGGAAAAATCATATGAATTACTTCCACAGTATCTTGAAGCTATCAAACGAAATAATCCGGGTACTGAATACGAAATATTATCCGAAGAGATTGCACCGGGTATGAAGAGGTTCACTCGCGTGTTTTGGGCATTTGGTCCTGCTATTAAGGGCTTCACTTTTTGTTGTCCGCTATTGAGCATTGATGATACATATTTATATGAAAAGTACAAAGACGTGCTTCTTGTAGAGACCGGTGTAGATGCAAATGGCGGGTTATTTCCTCTAGCATTTGCAGTCGTGGAGGTGGAGGATACGTCTAGTTGGAAGTGATTCTTTGAACTTATATACAAGTAGATTCCAAGTGTCCGTGCGCCAAGAATAATTACCTTTATTTCGGATAAGATGAAAGGAATTATAAGGGCGTTACATGAGGGTTTTAGTGCACCACATCACCATCGATATTGTTTAAGGCATATAAGAGATAATTTCAAGAAAAAACACGGTGAGATTAATTTGTAAAATCTTTTGTGGCAAGCCGGGTGTGCGACCGACACATTAGTGTATGAACATTGCAGGGAGAAAATCAAGTCTTTGTCATTAGATGCACATAATTGGATTGAAAATAACTTGAAACCCCAATTCGAGCATCGGTGGGCATGTAAGGATGAGGGTGTGCGGTTTTGCATGATGACGACTAATTGCTCCGAGAGCTTTAACGGCGTTCTTAAAGGAGCACGAGCTATGCCAATACAATCTTTAGTTGCGAGAACATTCTATAGACTAAACGCATACTTCAACAAAAGGCGTGGTGATGGCATAGACTGGACAACACGTTACACACCAAAAAATGAGTCCATTTTGCATAGAAGAATTGAGGCAGCAAGATCATGTCAAATTACTGTATTCAACGACAACGAATGGCAGGTACAAGATTGTGACGGTATCTACACCGTTAAACTATTTGATGTTGATTGCACTTGCACATGTAACATACCACAACTCCAAAAAATACCCTGTGCACATGTGCTTGCGGCTTCTTCTAATCAGCCGGGAGGTGCTAGAATTCCCAGAAATCGGTATTGCTCGCCTTGGTATTCAACAGCTCACTATCAAAAGACATATAGTGAGAGTTTTCATCCACCTGATGATAGTCGGTATTGGCCTGAATATAATGGACCACGTATAATTCCACCTCAGTACCGGAGACAAGCAGGTCGACCACGATCTGTGCGAATTAGGGGAACCATGGATCAAGGGCGAGAAGGAGTGGTCAAGCACAAAAAATGTAGTCTTTGCAAACAACCGGGACATACTCGACCTCGTTGTCCATCTAGACACAATAGATAGCAACTAATTGGTAATTTATATCATTTTTTTATTTTTATATACTTTAATAAAGAAACTGAATTACTATATGATTGATTATTGACATGTGTATAATTGTATGTGCATATTTGTACACCATGGATCCTGGGCCGGTTAGTGATGAGGTCTTATATGACCAGGCTCAGCATCGTTCACATATTATATCCTGTACAGAGGTAATTCAGTTACTTTATAATTGCAATATTTGCATTTACATAATATTACATTCTTATACTATCATTTGCTGTACAGAGAGGTCCGAGTATCGTTATGGTTGATCATAACCTCAGCCATAGCCGTTGGCGGTTAGAGGATGAGCGTATCATAACAGCTGTGGGACGGGCCGGCTTCTTGACTTGTTCAAAGATTCGTTGGATAAAGCTCGATTGGCCCCTACTGATCGCGTTGATGGATAGATGGAGACCTGAGACCAATACTTTCCACTTTCGGATGGGCGAGGCTACCATTACTCTACAAGATGTAGCCGTGATACTCGGTCTCCGTATAGATGGTCCGTGCATTACCGGCACTGATAGTGATGTATGGCCTCGAAGATGTGAGGAGTTGTTAGGTGTAGCTCCAGAGACTATGCCTCGAGGAACTATTAAGTTGAAGTGGTTGAGATAGACCTTATCAGTACCGTTGTCTGTTGATGCCCCACAAATTTTGGTTGACCAACATGCACGTGCATACATTATGCACATGATTGGTACTATATTATTTCCATATTCAAGTAAAGATAAAGTGCATGCGAGGTATGTGTATTTATAATATGAATTTGTTTTTCATTGAATTAGCTTATTTTAATAAATTGGAATATTATGAATATGCTAGGTGGTTACCACTCCTCGAGGACTTGGACGTATGTGGTACAAAATCGTGGGGTAGTGCCGTTTTGGTGTATTTATATAGAGAGATGTCAAAAGTGACACTTATGCAAAACAGTGAGCTTAAAGGATGTCTAAGCTTATTGCAAGTATGGACATGGGAGAGACTTCATTTGAAGCCGAGACTATGCACACATTTACAATTAGATGGACAAATTCCACTGGGATGCGGGTATTGTATTTTTTATGTAGCGAATATAATTGTAGTTATCGTTGTGTTACTAAATGTATGACAAACATTTTTTTGTAGATGGAATGTCAAAAAATGCTATGACGAGACCCCGGCTAGACAATTGGATTTCTACCGGAATGAGCTTGACCGTATGAAGATTTTTCAGGTAATTCTCACCGAAAAACATGCGCTTTTTCTTCTACATACTGAAACCCAATTCTGATATGCAACTGCATTAAATTATTGTAGATGGAATGGGAGCCCTACACCCAATTTCTACCTCAGCTACCCCCAATATGCACAGAATACCAAGTTGTATGGAGAGCTAGAGTTTCTCTTATATGTTTGGAGATAGTAGAAATGCATGTACCGGACCGCATGCTTCGACAATATGGTCGTGCACAACATGTTTCGCAGTTTGTTGAAAAGATAGAGAGGAAGGCAAAAAAAAGAGGCCAACAAATAAACTGGATGATCGTGCATCAAGCTTTTATACACAAATGGAATGATAGGCATTTTTGTATTATCAACCAAATTGAACCAACTCCTCGAGAATCAGATTACTACACTTGGTATTGGGACATAACCCGAAGATGGATACTTCATTCGACCACAATACCGATTGAGTCGCAAAGAGGATATGTGCCCCGAGGTATAGATGAGAGAGAATTAATAAGTATTTTCATATTTTGTTTATTGGTACTTTATGTGTTGAAAAATTTGCAGGTATCAGCAATAGATGAAGTTCAAACTCTTGCAAATCGTGGCTTGGAATTAGCTCGAGCAGGTACGATAAAATTAAATCTCAAATTTAATATGAAATTTTGTTTTTGAACTATCTATCGCAGGTAGAAATCCCGAAGCACATGAACATGTATCAATATATCAGGCTATAATACAGAGGCTTCAACAAGCCTTACACCAAACTCACGAAGATCGTCATGATGGACGGGAGGTAACGCCATTCGTATATACACGACAACAGCGACAAAGTCGAGGACGACGCAAAAATGACGATGAAGCTGGACCTTCCCAACGTGTCGACGATGGAGCTGGACCGTCACAACCACAAACACAACCGGCACACGAACTCATCGAAGGGCGATATGGAGGACGACGAAGACAAATGAGGAGGAGGAGAGTTCTTGGATGTATGTAAACTACAGGTTATATACAAGACAAAGGAGGAGGAGTGGTATTTTTAGATTTGTAGTAGATAATATCGAGTGATATGTTTGATTTCTAAGTGGATTTGTGGTGTTATTATGTTGAATTTGTTAGTGGGAGTTTGTGGTGTGATGTGATTTGTTTGATTTGAAATGAGTATGTGGTGAAATCAGTATGTAATTTGTTAGTGGGAGTTTGTGTGAATGTATGCGCAAGGACTACATGAAATGCAGTGGTGAAATGAGTATGTGACTTGTTAGAGGAAGTTTGTGTTTTGTTAGAGAAAGTTTGTGTTGATGTATGCACAGGAACTACTTGAAATGCAGACAAAATTGCGCAAAAATGTGCACAGCGAGTTCAACAAACGGCTACCCTCTCTGCTTAAAAGTCGGGACTGCTGGAACACCAAGTGCACGAAACTACTAGTCCCGTGCACTTGGTGTTCAGCTGCCCTCTCTGTTTAAAAGTCGGGACTAGCAGTCCCGACTTTTAAACAGAGAGGGCAGCTGAACACCAAGTGCACGGGACTAGCAGTCCCGTGCACTTCGCAAAAGACCCTCCGCTGCAAAACCGACCCTTTTCTTCTGAAAAGGATCGGTTTTGCTAATATTTTTCAGTTTAGGTCGATTTTGCCTATAAATTTTTAAAAATGGTTGGTTTTAAAAATTTCTCCTTCATTTAGACATGCTGAAACATTTTTGCTTTCCTACCCAACATTTGATCGACATTTTCTATCAAAGCAATATTACCCAATACATTTCATCTTATATATTACAGATTTAATCATGAAAGTATTCAAATGTAGTGCTGTTATTTAACTCCAAGCTCGTGAAATACAAGAGAAGAAGCTGATGACAACACCAAACTATCCGAGTTGATTCAGCCTCCATGCAAATTTAGTTAATTTTCGCACGAGGATAGTTAAAACTCAGAAATATAATGAAAATAAATCAATAAATGTATATGAATAAAAAGGACATAAAAATTAAAAAAAGGTAAATGTATTTGAATAAAAAACACATAAAAATAAATAAATAAACAAATGCATATGAATAAATAGCACATGAAAATAAAATATATTCAAAGCCTCAGTATGTCAGTTGATGTCATAATTCCCAAGTAGGTTCTCCCTTTTCAGGGTCTTGGTTTCCATTTTGCAGACAATATCATCATAGGCAACAATTTTTCGAAAATATTTTTGGTAAAATAAACTATTAAAAATTAAGATTGACATTTTTGCCTCAGTAATGACCAGAATATCATTTGAATGCAGGAGCTCCAAGTAGGTTCTCCCCGTAAAACAGGGTCTTGAAGCTATCTACACCTAAAAAATTGGTCCTTTCGTCATTAGCAATATAAATTTTGGGTATTAGCCTAATATACTCTTCAAAAACATCATAATTGCAGAGCAACAGTCTTCTATTCTTCGAGGAATTTAACAAATACAGGGGGTAAGTCGCAAATTTGGGAATAAACAACATATTTTCAGATTACGTTAAACAAGTAAACCAAATATTACGAATAATATGACCCAATAAAGGCTCAGAAAAATATCAGCGTTCTCAATCATGAATTATCTGAAGCAGAACTGGCGTTAGCTGTTATTTTTCTCATCACGGCCAATAAAAATGTTATGAAATTAAACTAATAATAAATGTTTTGGTCACGAGAATGCTAGCTCATATCAAGAAATTCAACCATTTTTTTCATCCTTTTGCTTCATAGACCAAGTCTCAGAAGCGCGGATAAGTTGTAATCATAGCTAACATAGCAATCAAACCAAAATAATTTCAAGAGTTTTAAGTTGAAAGTTGACAAATATGGCGAGAGATTTTAGAGGCAAAACCGTGAGAAATTACGAATAAGCCCCCACGTTAGCCCCCGCCGAGTTCAATCTCTGCCTCCATGACTGAGCTCTTTGGGGTATTGAAATCCTCCAAAAGCCAAAGGTGAGGAGAGGCAAAATACGACAAATATAGAAAGTTATGCAAATATTCATCTAAGCCCCAAACAAATTTTGAGATATAGCCGTCACTTTGACACAATACTGAAAGATTGTAAATCAAGATCAGAACTGCAACACTGGACGACACTTGATCTAGCACGAGCATTGGGGCTTTGATCTTCATGAGTGATTTCAGAGAAGCCCGGGGTGCAACGTGCGAATATCAATAAGACTTAACCACGCTCTTGAAATTGGGGGTGTAGTATGAAATGAAAATTTGAAGGAGGAAAAAAAAATATCATGAGCCTTACTTTGGTAAATCGCCGCCATGGCCAGAAATCCTAGAGGAAGAGAGGCAAGATCCGGAGAGCACCTTATTTATAGATGCCTGATGAAGCCCTAGCCCCAATTTAGTAAAACTCGAAAGTCGATCCAACGGTTAATATCTTACGATCTAGACATTTGCTTTGATCCGGTTCAATTATCAAATCTGCCAATGAATAAAGCGAAAATTTCAAAAAAAAAAACTCTTTAACTTATGTGAGGAATTTTATGCAAAGCCCCTGTGTACTTTTGCGAATTGAAGGGTTTGATAAAATTCTCCTGAACTTTGGAAAATTGTTATTGAAAGGTTTAAGTGATAACACTTACATAAAAAATTTCATAGTTTAGCGATCAAAATTCCATTTTAACAAATAAAAATTATTATAATATTTCCTCATAGCATTTTTGCCTTATTATTTTAACTTCCAATGATAATTCTAAAGTCTTAGGCAGGTTTTGTAAAACTTCTAGTGTAAGAGAATTTGCTGTAATTTATAAAGTTGAGGTGTTTTTTTAAGTAAATCACTCACCGCTAAAGATTTTATAAAATTTACTCAAAAAATCAAGGTATCAAAGGCTTTTGCCCCTTTGAAACATAAAAATTTGGGAAAATGTATCAAAGAAATGGTTTTTTGGGAAATCCCTATAAATTCTTTAAGTTACACCAAAAAATACTCTTAGTTTAAATTCAATTTTCAATCCAAAAAAGCAGCAAAAATTTATTCTTTTACCTTTTTGCGTTGTCCATTGTTTGCAATCGTCCTTGACTGATCATTGGCAGACCTTTACCCACTAAAACCGATGTTGTTAACACTCCCACTATAACACACGCTCCACCGTGTGTTTGGCTTCGCACTGTAGCATATAGGGGTGGGGGGGGGGGGGGGGGTTTAGTTGAGTTTGA